CGAGTGCACTCAGTGGCCAGAAGCCACCGGATCAGCGTAGAAGTCACCTCGGACTTCTTCGCCAGAGAAAACACCGTGGTGTACCTGGAGTAGTCGTCAACGACCACTAGAAAGTAGCGCTCCCTCTCAGGTCCGAGCGTAGGGGCAGGGCCCCAGACGTCCAGGTGGAGGGTCTAGAAGGGAGCAGTGGCCGGACGAAGGGAGGAGGAGTTCGGAGTCGCGCGCAGGCGGCCGGCGACGCAAGGAGTGCAGGGTGGGGCAAGCGAGTGAGGGAGCGACATAAAGACGCGCAGGAGATCTGAGAGAAGACTGTGACTGGCCATGCTGCGGAGGCGGGGGAGCGACGGGTGGCCAAGGCAATGGTGCCACAAGACGGTCGGGTGGGCTAGGGACCGACAGGAGCAAGACGCAGCAACTAGACTGGACACAGCAACCTGACCGGTCACAGCAACCTGTGGGGACACAGTAACCTGACGGGACTCTGCTACCGGGGGAAACGAAGCAACCTGACTAGGCGCAGCTACCTGCGGGGTTGGAGTGTGCAGGACGAAGAGACCTGAGTGGGGCTCTCTGGTGAACGTGGTAAGAACTGCCCCAGTGGAAGAGTCCATACAGATCGCACTCCTCTCGTGCGCAGGAAAAGTGACAGTGATCCCCCGGTCCTAAAGGTATCCAACACCCGCCAAGTTCCGAGAGAACGAGGGGATGTAGAGACCAGTGAGGAAACCAGAGGGGACAGCTGGGCACGGGAGAGTGGTCGAGCTGCGAGCAACTGCTGGTCCTGAAGTAGGATCAGCCAGGGCAACTGGGTCTGGAGCCGAAAGAGGTGTGACAGTGGTGTGGTCGCGGAAGAAGCACTAAGACGCGCCAGAGTCCAGCGTGAAGGAGAGTGATGCAACAACATTGCTCATGGCTGGGCGAGTGACTACACAAGCACCTACACTAAAAGCACAAGTACCTACACTAACAACAAGCAAAGGCCCTAAGCTAGGTACACGCAAGCCAAGAGATCCATACGTGACAGAATAAACAACATCCATAGACATATCAAACACAAGGTAACCACTACGAAACAGACCGGGCCAGATCGGGGGAGCCAACCCAGGCCCAAAACGCTCACGGTAAAGATCGTCGAGGCGGCTGTAGCAGCGCTGTGCAGAGTGGTCAGGACGCCAGCAGGTAGTGCTAGCACCAGGGTTGGTCAGGATCCGGTACTGGCAGGGGCCGACGTCGCGACCACCGCGACGAGCCCCCCAGCTGGCTGGGCCGCTGCTGTAGCCAACGCTACCCGAACCACCAGGCCCCCACGGCTGCTGAGGGCGCCAGAGCTGCTGAGGGCAGAGCTGCTGCTGAGGGCGCCCCTGCTGCTGCGGAAGCCACTGCTGATGTGGGCGCCACTGCTGAAACGGCCGCTGCTGCTGTCCCTGCTGCCGGAGAAGCCTAGTGGACTCCATGATAAAAGCTAGCGGGGTGCAGGAGCGGCAGGCTAGGAGCGACAGGAGCTAGGGACGGCAACAGTGAAAAACAAGAACAACTAGGAGCGCCAGATGAAACTAGGCGAGTAACTGCTAGAGCACGGAGCGAACTGAGCTAGGAGCGAGGAGCGCGAACGGCTGGAGCTAGAATGGTTGGAACTGGAACGGTTGGAGCTAGAACGACAGGAGCACAACTGGTTGGAGCTAGAAACGGCGAGCTACGGCCGGCTGGAGGTAGGAACGGCCGGAGCTAGAGACCGTAAGTGCGGCTGTCGGCTGCCGCTAGTAGAGCCACTGCTAGTGGAAAGTACGTGCGGCAGTAGGGGCTGCAGTACGGACGGGATGTAGGCAACTGTGCAGGTCGTCCGGCAAGCAGGAACGCGGGCGACAGTTGCAGGCCCCCACCCTGAACAACCCCCCCCCCCCCCCCCCCCCCCCCCCCCCCCTTCCCCCCCCCTGTTAAAAAAAAAAAAAAAAAGAAGGGTTTACTGTATTTATTTATTTTCTGGCACTAAAGCACTTCGGGACGCGCTGCCTGCAGGGCGCGCTACCCGCGTGGCGCGCTGCCTGCGGGGCTGGGGCGACGGGCCAGGGCGCGGGCTGGGGTGACGGGCTAGGGCGCGGGCTGGGGCGACGGGCTGGGGCGACGGGCCAGGGCGCGGGCTGGGGCGACGGGCTAGGGCGCGGGCTGGGGCGACGGGCCAGGGCGCGGGCTGGGGCGACGGGCTAGGGCGCGGGCTAGGGCGCGGGCTAGGGCGCGGGCTGGGGCGACGGGCTAGGGCACGGGCTGGGGCGACGGGCAAGGGCGCGGGCCTGGGCGACGGGCTAGGGGCGTGGGCTAGGGGCACGGAGTGGGCTAGGCATGCGGAGGAGGAGGGCGCTAGCGCGCGGAGAGGGCATGGAGGGAGCGGAGGCTAAGGCGCGGAGGGCGCGGAGGGGCGCTAGAGAGGGTGCGGGCTAGGAAGTAACGGGGAACTAACCTACTCGTGATACCATCTCAAAGTAGGAATGCAACAGAATGGTGAACTAGAAACAGGATGGGGTACGAATATGCAAACCTAAAAGTTGTACCCCCCTAGAAGGCACCTCACTTCAGCCTATATCTCATATTATATATTTGACAGTCTTGATCAAGCTAAATAAAAAAAAAAAAAAAAAAAAAAAAAATCTATCAATTGTAACTTGTGTGGCAATTTTCGACTAGTTGAGGTGCCTGATCCTGGCACACGGGACCAGACCCTCCCAGACCAGGCAGGCTTCTTCCCTCCCTTAGACAGAGGGGAGGATGCCAAACCAGACCCAAAAGACCCAGCCAGGAAACCAGACCCTAGCAGAATATAACCCGACAGACCAAGGAACACCAGGATTCAAACCAGGCCATGCCGGGCCAGACTGTGTTAAACTTAGTACTATGCCTTAGGAACCACCATAGCTTAGAGAGTAGCTTAGGAACTTGGGAAGGGGAGTAGCGAGAGGTGTTGGCCAACAAGAAGGGGTTGACTATTGAGAGAGAAACAAGATATAGGGCAAGGGAAGGTGGTCAAGGGGGGCATACCACCAACAATGGAAGAGATACTACACTAGCTAAGCTAAGATGCAGTTATATATAGAAATACAATTTCTGACATCCCCCCTTAACTGCATACAAGCATAGCCAGTGAGGGGCGCTCTACCCTAAGTGCAGACTTCACCGGGCAGCAGCAGGGTCCACCGATACAACACACGATGGAAAGCCCGCCTGCGGTTTAACCCCCGCAGTGGATGCCTGGTGTGCGCGACTCTGGGTGACCACGCCCAGAAACAACGGAGAAAGGAACGAAGCACGAAACGAAGAGAAAACATTACGAAAGAAGAAAACAGAAAAGAAGAAGCCTTTCTCTCTCTCTCTCTCTCCCTCTCTCTCTCTCTCTCTCTCTCCTCTCTCTCTCTCTCTCTCTCTCTCTCTCTCTCTCTCTCTCTCTCTCTCTCTCTCTGTCGTCCCCCTGTAACCTCTCCCATCCCCCCTTAACCTCTCTTCTCTCCCCCCCCCCCCCCCCCCCACAGCAACAAGTGCTGTAGGGAGAGAGGTAGAAGGAAGGGAGGGACGGGCTGCTGGTGGTGCACACCCACCACCCCCACATCTCTCCCCCCCCCCCCCAGTGGCGGAAGCCGCGGAAGGGAGGAATGGGGGGGGGGGCGGCGTGAGCAGCTGCCGGCGTTGGCGCTGGCGGCGGCGTGGGCACACGCGTCGGCGTTGGCGCTGGCGGCAGTTGCAGGCGTCCGCGCTGGCGCCTGGCGTTGGCGTCCGCGTCCGCGTCGGGCGCTGGCGTCCGCGAGGGCGACGTGCGGGCCGCGTGGCGACGAAACGGCGCGGGGCGACGCGGAGGACGCGACGGGCAGAACGAGCAGAGCGCAGGGCGACGAGCGCGACGGGCGACGAAGAACAATGGCGCATTTCGCGCTGCAGTGGGCGGGCCCATGTTACTTAGGAAAAAAAAATGTCCTTAGACCGTTTTACCGCTCTGTACCATGTTAAACTTAGTACCACGCCTTAGGAACCACCATAGCTTAGAGAGTAGCTTAGGAACTTGGGAAGGGGAGTAGCGAGAGATGTTGGCCAACAAGAAGGGGTTGACTATTGAGAGAGAAACAAGATATAGGGCAAGGGAAGGTGGTCAAGGGGGTTATACCACCAACAATGGAAGAGATACTACACTAGCTAAGCTAATATGCAGTTATATATAGAAATACAATTTCTGACAGACTGGGCCAGGCCGGACCAGATGAGCCCACATGAGGTCAGACCACGCCCCACCCAGATCAAGCCAGACCAGGCAGGTGCCCACCGGGTTGACATTTCAATAATAGACACTCAGATTTTTTCCGTTAAGTATTACTGTATATACTGTCGCTCGAACATCTGTATGTCCTCTCACATTTTATAATGTGAGTACTGCATGAGGCGGCTTCTGGTGGATGCCACAACAACCTAGCAGGGGTGGAATGTCTGCTACGGTGATAATGGCATAAGTGTTCACACTGGTACGCACCAGCACTGAATGAGAGGTCCGCCTGGGTGATTGCTTGAGATTCAGTACATCATGGTGTGGTGGAATTTAATGGCCAAGGACCGCAACGCTAAGTTGAAAATCTGGCTACTGGTACGGCAAAAGAACAGGGGTGCATGATCCTACTCTGACAATAAGAAAGAGACCTTGTGAAGAATAGCAAGCATGACACTGAATATCAAAGTGGTGATAGACTATTCAAAGCTATACGTCTCCCCTCCCCACAAACTAAGGAGTAAACACCAAAACCAAAACGGCACCAAGTTATTCCCTCCTTCCCCATCCCTATTCAGCAAGCAGAATCAACTACATTACACACAAGGTACCCTCATTCCTACCCTCATTCAACCTAGATTAAACTGAGGCATGCAGCACCATAGGACGCCACACATATTGCAGCACAGCTGTTACGGTTCCGAAGCGGTACAGCCCGTTCCGCTGCAATTCCACCCACACAAAGGGTTGTCAGACCCCCATTCTACTTTCTCCTGAAAAGGCCAGTGAACCCACCCCAGGCCTTCTTAGCAGCATCCCCAACCGCTCTACCTGCCTTGTTCACCTCATTCTTTACTGCGTTCCCCGCCTTCTTCACCTCATTCTTTACTGCGTTCCCTGCCTTGTTCACCTCATTCTTTACTGCGTTCCCTGCCTTGTTCACCCCATTCTTGATATCATTCCCAGCCCTGTTCACCCCATTCTTGATATCATTCCCAGCCCTGTTCACCCCATTCTTTATATCCCTCCCAGCCTTGTTCACCCCATTCTTTACAGCGTTCCCCGCCTTGTTCAACTCTTTCCCGACAGCCTTTCCGGCTTTCTCCCCTTCCCTCTTGATATCATCGTAGTGCTCCGCCGCCATATTCAGCCCCGCCATCAGTGGCTTGGGGGCCACGGTATTCACAACGGCGTTGAAGTACTTGTTCTGCATCACCTTTCCGATAACGCGTCCAACCTTGCCGGTTTTTTCAATGTCCGCGCCGATCTTACCCATCATGGTAGGCCCGTCTCCCGCCCCCACGATTGACAAGATTCCGCCCACTGCAGACCCGCCAGCGGACGACAGAGCTTTCTTCGCCCCATATTCCAGCGCTTTTTTCGCCGCCTTTTCGGCTCCCTTTCTCGCCAGGTCTTCCCCGCGCTTCTTCATGTTGTTGTTGATCCGCGGCTGCCGCCGGAGCCCTCTGCGGGCGTCTCCGCCGATTTCCGCCGCTCCGCCGTCAAACGCGACATCCTCCAAATCGCTCTCCTCGATACTATCGCTCTCGCTGTCCGTTTCAGTGACCTGCAACGGAGAGTCCAAATCCGCCGTTGTCGCGCCGTCCTTGAGCGCGCGGCGGGAAAGAGCGCGCGCTGGCAGCATTGACAGGGAAGACTGCAGAGAGTGGCGGGAAGGAAGTAAGAAAACGGGTGTTTGCAATGGACGAGCACTTCTGGGAATGGAAAAATGAGCGGACGGGACGAGATTCCAGGGCTGCGAAAATATGGCGGGGAAAGAAAAACTCCTGGTTTTTCAGCATCGGTTTACCTTGCTGGCGTCGTCTGGAGCGCGCTGCGAGGTGGGCTCTCCGACGCCGAGGAGGGCGGAAGCGCCGATGGCGAGTTGCGCGGCGAGGGCGACGGCGAATACGACGAGCAGCAGGAGATAGCGCGAGAGCGCCATGATGTGCGGAATGAGGTGAGCAATGCGGCGAGTGGAAGGAGTCCAACGGAAGTGAAATGTTTTGGGTTGTGAATTTTAGAATTGAGAACTCGACCGAACGGAACAATGACTTGAGAGACGTTAGATGTCTTCGACTGTTCCTTTTCTACGCGGGAGGCGACACGGGTAGAGATTCTACAGCGCGTCTCGTCTCGAGCCTCGCCGGCGGCGACAGGCAGGGCAGAACACATTGGAAGCAGGCTGCTTTTGGGAACTACTGTAAATGTTGGCCAGGCAACGTGGAAGGGCCTGGTAGCGCAGAAATTGCCCGTGAATTGCGGAGATTTTCAGCAGCGGCTTAGCGAACGGATCGAATTTCTGCCACAACCTGAACAGCCGCTTACTAACCGCGGTGAAGCTGCTGGATCCTTTCAAAAAAATATTCCTTGCCTTGTCGAGATTCCACGCTAGCTTCACCGCTCATCTGGGCCTTGGCAAGAGGCACGGCGGAACATTGCGGGCTGGAACTACTGTAATTGTGGCCCAAGGGGCAAGGGCAGGGTCTAATGTGGAACTTCGCCCGCAACATGCGGTGGAGCTGGAGGATTCCGTTCGGTCGAGTTCGGAAATTATTCATTGTCGAGCTTCAACAAATGCTTTCCCATGAAATGTCAATCACAACCACGCGCCGCGAATGAACCGATATGAGGATTGAGGGCTATAAGTAGGCAAAAAGGAAACAGCGTTAAAAGGCAGTATATTAAATTCAAATATGTGATTGTGGCTCATAGGGTGCAGCATACGCTTACATGTTTTCCAAATATTACTATTTGCAACAAAAAAACTCGATAATCCTTGGTATGATGGTCTGGAAACTTGACAAGAACAACGCCGATTATCTGCGCATCAGGGCCTTAAATTCGTTTGAGGGTACCCTGAGGACTCGGGGCAGTTTTTTAGAAACCTCATTTTTTTCCTGAACTGTCAGGACTGCCCTAGGAAAGGTATGCTGTGCCCAGGGCTGATTTTATCAGGGTAATTACCCTGATTTCAGGGTGATTCCAGGCTTTCCACTTCGTGGAGTCTGAAATTTCAGAGTTAATGAATTTTCAGCCCTGATCCAATCAGAGTAATAGTTTAGCTATCCCTGATTTTGAGTACATTGTAACAGACTAGGCTGTTAGTGGACCCTGACTTAACAGAGTATCGACTCTGTGGACCCTGACTTATCGAGAGGAAGTTTCTCGGAAGTTTCCCTCCGATGACCCCCCTTGGATTGATCGCAGTGATCCCCCCACATGTGCGTAATCCCCCCCCTTCCCTCTTTATCGAGAAGAAGTTTCTTCGAAACTTCGTTCTGATACACCTACCATCGAGATCGCGCTAATCTGCAATGTCAGATATACTTTGCTGGGATTGGTCGAAATAGGCTCTAACAGCGGAAATTTTTGACTCGAACAGGTGTGACTCGCCCGTTCGGTCGTTACACTCGCTCCAGAAGGAACGCCTCTGAGGGTGACTAACTACAGTCGCAGCGTGTCTGATGCATGCCATCTGAAGAGATCCGATTGGGCATGGTAAGACAGGGAAACGTTACACTCGCACGCCAGATAGGTCAATCACACCCGCCCTGCACAAATCAGTCGAGTGTACAGCCAGCGGGAAACACAGCGCGCAGACTTTATGGATGGTGGGGATTTTCTCCCCGGTAACAAAGCGCGCGTTACTACTCTGATGTTCAGTTCTTGACCCTGAACAATCAGAGTTAGCTACTTTACAACCCTGAGCAATCAGGGTACTGCTTTTCTGGAAAATGTGCACCCATAATAGAGGGGGAAATTTTTCCCCGGAATCAGGGAGGCTTAAAATGAAACGTCAGCCCTGGCTGTGCCGTCAGTGCTACATGTGACCTTATCTTGACATATCAGTGCTACATTTCATTTTATCCTGTGCAGTGTACTATGGTTAAGGGTTGTTTGTTTGGATAGGTTTTCATTGCTGAGACACATAATGAAGCAGACCAGAGCAAAGTATTGAAGAGCCATTTGGCAGACATTTATAATGAAGAGGAGCAAGCATTTCAAAATCCATCGTCATCGTACTCCTGATCATCTTCATATTCATCATCATCATCATTGTTCCCCCCACTGTCAGCACAGGCATCATCTGCGTGGTCGTCACGCTTCTCTGCAAGGGACCCCCAGAACACCGCACCAGTCCTCCTCGATACATCCACCTTTTTTGCTTTGCGCTTGGTGGAACGCCTCTTCTTGGTGCTGCGCCACTGTTGTCAAACTTATATGCTATAGTCTGTGTAGGCTGTAGTGGGGTAGATAATATGGGGTACAACACTTTTAGGTTTTCCTACTTGTACCCACCTGTTTCCTAGTGCATCCATTCCTCTTTCTTTCACATGGTATAGAGCAGGTTCCCTAGTGGGAACGTTTCCTAGGGCCCACCAAAAATCGAATTTTTTTTCCTGCCCGGAGCGCGCTTCGCCCCTGCCCGAGTCGCGCCCCGTGTGCCTGCCCTCCCGTCGCGTCCCCTCCCCTTAGCGGCCCGTCACGCTCTCTTACGGCCCCGTAGTGGCCCCTCTCACGGCCCCTCACGGCCCCTCTCACGGCCCTTCGCGGCCCCTTCAGGCCCCTCGCGGCCCCTTCGTGGCCCCTCGCGGCCCCTTCGCGGCCCCGTCGCCGCCCTTCGCGGCCCCGTCGCCGCCCTTCGCGGCCCCATCGCCACCCTTCGAGGCCCCGTCGCCGCCCTCCTCGGCCCCGTCGCCGCCCTTCGAGGCCCCTCGCGGCCCCTTCTCGGCCCCGTCGCCGCCCTTCGCGGCCCCGTCGCCGCCCTTCTCGGCCCCGTCGCCGCCCTTCGCGGCCCCTCACGGCCCCGTCTCGGCCCCGTCGCCACCCTTCGCGGCCCCTCACGGTCCCGTCTCGGCCCCGTCGCCGCCCTTTGCGGCCCCTTCATGGTCCTTCGTGGCCCCTTCGCCGCCCTTACCGGCCCCTTCTCGGCTCCTCCGCGAACAGCAGCAGCCGCCGCCGCCGACAACAGCAGCCGCCGCCGCCGACAACAGCAGCCGACAGCAGCAGACGCCGCCGACAGCAGCGGCGGCCGCCGACAGCAGCAGCCGCCGCCGCCGACAGCAGCAGCCGCCGCCGCCGCTGCCGTGACAGCCGCCGCCGCCACTGCCGGGACCGCAGCCGCCGCAGCCGCCGCTGCCGTAACCGCCGCCACCGCCGCTGCCGGGGCCACAACCGCCGCCGCCGCCGATAGCAGGAGCCGCCGCCGCCGTCGCGACCCTGTCCCTGCCGACGCGCCTCGGCCCTGCCCCACCACTTGCGGGCCCCTACCCACCCGCCCTGGTAAGAGCACCGCCGAGCCGCGCCTGCTGCTGCTGCTGTCATGGCTACCCCTAGCGTTCTCACCTTTGATGCTGAGGGTCGGGCTGTCGACTTTGATGTCTGGGTCGATGATCTGCAGCTTTTCCTGCAGTGCGATAGGAAAGACGGTCTCTCACTGTTCGATCTCACGTCTGGCACCTCTCCTGCCCCTACTGCCGATGCTGACAGCACTGTTCGCTCCCAGTGGGCCACACGCGATGCTGCTGCCCGTCTTGCTGTGCGTAGTCACTTGCCGTCCACTGAGCGCGCGCACTTTAGTCAGTACAAGAGTGCTAAGACCTTGTACGACGCTGTAGTTGCACGCTACTCTTCCCCTGCCACTGCTGCCCTTAGCCGCCTCATGCTGCCGTACCTCTTCCCTGACCTCGTAGCCTTTCCCACTGTCGCTGACCTCATTCCGCACCTTCGCACTAGTGACACCCGCTACCGCGCTGCGCTTCCTGCTAAGTTCTGCGCCAAGAACCCCCCCCCCTCATGTACATCACCCTCTACTACATAGTCACCCGGCTCCCTGACTCCCTTCGCTCGGTCAGGGACCACTTCCTCTCTGTTTGCCCCACCACACTCACCGCTGACCTCCTCGAGGAGCGCCTCCTGGCAGCTGAGAAGAGTATAGTCGCTGTAGGAGCCTCTCGTGGTGACCCTCGTACCCCCTTCTTTGAGGGGTGCTCCCCCTCCCCACTTTTGCCCTCTGTTGCCTCTGCTACTGCCGTCGACTTCGTTGGCACCGAGTCGGTCGGCGCTGCGTCTGCCCCTAGCGGGAGACGCCGCACCGGCAAGGGCAAGGGGGGCAAGGGCGCTGGAGGGGCTGGCAAGGGCGGTGGAGGTGGCGGTGGAGGCGGCGGAGGGAGTGGGGGTGGCGGTGGGAGTGGTGGCGGGGGTGGGGGCTTCGGTGGCGGGGGTGGGGGCTTCGGTGGCGGCGGTGGAGGCGGAGGCGGCGGCGGCGGTGGCGGTGGGAGCGGAGGAGGAGGCGGTGGCGCCGGTGGCGGAGGTGGCGGCGGCGGAGGCGGCGCACTGGTGAGCCGTGCGGCGGCCCGCACACCACCCAGCGCTGCTTCGGCCGCCTGACGGACGCTTGGCGTCTCCAGTGTCAGAATGTTATTGTCTAGCCTGTAGTGGGGTGCTCTATAGCGGGTACAACCCAGCTAGGGTTTGCTATATGTATCTCCATTGCTAGTGAAAACCCCTCTTTTGCCTAAACTTCTCTTGCCTAGCTAGGGCTTACCTAGCTATGGCTCCTGATTCTATCACTCATCTCAACATGCTATCAGAGCAGAAACGCTCCTGGCCTGTGGGCCCACCTTCTTCCGCTGCTACTCTGTCTGTTGCACGCCCCGTGGCGTGCGACGCCTTCTTCCTGCCGCGCGCTCCGCGCGCGGCGAATTTTTTTTTAGGTTTTTTCTTCCCGCCGTGCGCCCCGAGGTGCGCGGCGGTTTCATGCCGTGGGGACCCGCGCGCGGCCCCCGCCCTGCTCGTC